GTATATGTGGGGGAGGGGCCTCGCCTTGAAGTGCAGAGAAGCCCCCCTCACCTTTAGGGCCCCCCCACTCTTTCTCTGCAAGGCCCTCCCCCCGATATATGGAGGAAGGGTGTGGGGGGAGGGGTATATGTGGGGGAGGAGTGAGGGGGAGGGGCCTCACCCTGAAGTACAGAGGAGCCCCCCCTCACCTTTAGGGCCCTCCCCCCCAATATATGGGGGAAGGGGTATATGTGGGGGAGGAGTGAGGGGGAGGGGCCTCACCTTGAAGTACAGCGAAGCCCCCCCTCACCTTAAGGCCCCCCCCCCACTCTTTCCCTCCAAAGGCCCGCATGTGGTCGTCCCCCCCCCCCGTAAGTGTGGGGAGGGGTATGTGGGAGGAGCGTGGGGGGGAGGAGGAGGAGTGTGGGGGAGGGGCTTCACCTTTAGCACCACTTTCCCTACAAGGCCTGCGTGTCCCTCCCCCCCCCCGGGGGCGGGGGGCGGAGCCTCACCTTGAAGTAGCCGCCCTCGTAGAGCGTGTTGGGCGGCCCGAAGATGGCTACCTCCCAGTTGTACAGGTCGGACTCGTCGACCAAGGTGATGCGGAAGCCCTCCACCGGCTCCTCCTGCAGCCCCTTCAGCTCCAGCATCAGCGCCTTCTGGGAGCTGCTCACCTGCTGCTGCGCCATGGCGGGGGGGGGGGGCGGCGAGGAGGGGGAAAGGCCGGAGACCGAGGAAGAGGAAGGAGGCTAGACGGGAGCCGCCGGCTCAGGCCGGGCAGGGCCTGGCCGCGGCGGGCCAGGCCGGGCCAGGCCGCCCGGCCCGCCCGCCGCAGCAGCCGCCGCCGCCGCCGCGATCCTCCTGCTCCGTGCGGGGGACGGGACGGGGGGGGGGGAGGAGGGGGGCGAGCCCGCCGGCGCCGCCGCGGGGAGGGGCAAAGGCGGGACGAGCGCGGGCCTCCTCCGCCACCGAGCGAGGCCGCCGCGCAACCCTCCTCCCCCGCCGCACCGCTTTCGGCCCCTCGACGCCGCCGCTTCCTTTTGTGACGGCGCCGCCGCCGCCGCCGCTCGCTCGCTCGCTCGGTTCCGTCGCTCGCGCCCGCTTGACGGGAACGCGCCCGCTCCGCCCGGCAGGCCCCGCCTTGCTGCTTCCGTTTCCCCCGCTTCCGCCTTCCTGCCTCGGGCAGGAGGCGCAGGCCGGCCGCCCGCCCCGCGCACGCGCAGAGGGCAGAGGCGGCTCTCTCGCGGCGCCTTTCCCCCCCCTCCTCCGGTGACGTCAGAGGCGGACTTGGCAACGCCTCTCCCCGGTGACGTCAGAGGCGGCTTTATTGGGAAGCTTTTACCAGCGCTCTGATTGACAGGGCGGAACACGCGCTCGTTCTTTCTCCCCGCTCCTAGCTCCGCCCTCCACCGTGATGTCATTGGTTGACTCCTAAGCTTAAATCTCACGGGTCACTCCCTAAGGGGAATCCCTCTCTCTTTCTCTCGTCCAATGTTTAGCCTAGCCCCACCCTCTACCGTTACATCATTGGTTGCCTCTTAAGCTTACTTCTCATGGGTCCTGCCCTAAAGGGAAGGGAGCGTTCGGCCATTGGCCGCTGGTTGTTAAAAAGTACTCAGCCTTCTTCAGGGATTGGCTGGTTGCTGGTTCCGTTGTTGTCCAAGGTCTTTGGCGGCAGGGAGGCCTTTAGCTCCTCTTACATGGACGGAACCATTAAGCCTTTGGAATGGGGGAGTGGATTGATTGAAATGCCCTTTTCAAGGAAAAAGAAGTCATTTCCTCAGTGCTGATTTATTGGATGTTATTTCCAAATAATGAAAGTGGGAAATAAAATGTAGGCGATGGATCAATTATATAATTGTCACAATATGTAATTGTACATGCCAATGTAGGCAATGGATCATTCTATATATGTGTGTATTACGTTATATATTTATATAACACAACACGCTTATATTTATAATACATTTGCATATATAATGTATAGATAAAAATACACCCATACGTATATAATGTGTGTGTGCACATACATAAATGTATACACACAGAGAGAGAGAAATAAAAGCCAACAACTCCCTCTGCCACCGAACAGGGTTTATGGTCTGGTTCAAAAATAACTTGGATCGCCTTAATGCACTGGGCCAAATCATGTGTAAACCACCATTAGGCTAAGCTTTGATGCAACCACAGATACAAGCCATGGTAAACCAAGTTAAGCAACCTGGTTATGGCTCAGTGGGCTTTTCGGACCAGTACAGTATGACCTAGTAGTGTTTTTCAACTGTTGGGAGAAATAGCCTTCAGGGTTCAGTTCCAAGTGGGGAAGAAAGACACTGGAAAAATGGTGACTGCTTGGAAAGATGGTTTAATGGTGGACAGGATCACATGCCTCGGGTGAAGAAAGAAGGGCAGAGCTGCTGAGAATCCTTTGGTTTTATGCCCTCTGTTGGGATTTGAATTTGAGCTTGTATTCTGATTGGTTGTCAGACTCCCAAGGGGCCATGCAGGGGCGATTCTGTAGGCTGTCCTGAGTCCCAGGCTTTGATGAGCCTTGCTGGCTGATGATGTAATGAAAGGGCTTTGAGCAGTTCCTATAGCTCTACTTGGTGTAGATCTTTGTGATGTAAAATAGGCTGGCCTAGGCCAGAGTAATGGCCCATTAGCAAAGCGGGGGGTGGGTTGAGTTTCTGCTTCTGAGGTGAGTTTCTGCTTTTGAGTTTCTACTCTTTGGGGGGGAAATATTCTGCCTTTTTAATATATCCTAAAATATTTCATTTTCCTAGGAGAGAGGGGTGGGTTTTAACTTCCAACAGAACCTTGGTAACTTTAAGGACTGCAACTCCCAGAATTCTGTGCTGGCTAAGAGAATTCTGGGAGTTTAAAAGCCCACATAAAGTTGGCAAGATTGAAAAAACGCAGCGACAGTCCCACAGCAAGTCTCGACAGTAGCATAAACAATTTAGAAATTAGAAAAACTTTAATTTTTAGGTCAAGCTTAAATTCCCTGTTTCTTCCATTTTTATCACTTTTTCTTGCTGTTATTTATTCTTTCTATGTAATGTTTCATAATAAAGTGACAATAAAATGATAATAAATCTTTATGAGTATAATACAATAAAATGTGAGGATGAGGTTGGATTTCCTGAGAATAATTTAAGGATGCAAACAATCCTTTCCTGTGTAAATTTCCTTTGGGACGCTGATGTTAAATCACTTCAGGTAGCTACAGGCAGTCCTTGAGTTATGACCACAAGTGAGCCCATCATTCATGTTGTTAAGTGTGACATTCATTAAGTGAGTTTTGCCCTTTCTTGCCACAGTTGTTAAGTGAATCAATGCAGTTGTTAGCAACATGGTTGTTTAGTGAATCTGGCTTCCCCGTTGACTTTGCTTGTGTCATGCCCTTGATACAGTCGGACTCTGAGGGAGAGGAGGAACAGGCAACAGGGAGTGGAGGTGTGGCTCCGGAGGTTGTGGAGGAGACTGGGGAAGGGCAGAGGCTGGCTGAGCAGTCAGAGGATGAGGCAGGCCCATCCCCTCTGCATCCTAGGACACGCAGGGAGGAACGGAGAAGGCAACAACTTGGCTTATGAGAGAGGAAGTGGCCATGATCCTCCTCATTGGTTGCAGCCAGGGAGACTGGTATATAAGAGAGATGATTACAGCACAGTGTTGCTTGCTTTAGGTTGGGCTGAAGTTATCTTGGTTGGCGTCCTTCCAACAGACTGTGCCTTGTTATCTCCTTGAATTTGGTAATTACTTATCCTGGTCAGTTGTGGAAATTTCATCATTGTAGTTTGTTTGGTTTTTCATTTCACCTCTATCTGCTTGTTAAGTTCGGACTGTATTGCTTTCTTTTGAGGACTATTTTTGAATAAGTTTTATCTCCAACTGAGAATTATTGAGCAGTGGGGCCAAGTTGGAGGCATTAAAGGACATTAATTTACATTTTGGATTTTGTTATGTCTGTGTTACACTCTTGGTCATCACAGCTTGTCAGAAGGTCGCAAAAGGAGATCCCATCATCCTGGGACACTTCAACCGTCATAAGTGTAAGTCAGTTGCTAAGCATCTGAATGTTGATCACGTGACCACGGGGATGCTGCAATGGTCATAAGTGTGAAAGACGGTTGTAAGTCACTTTTTTCAGTGCCATTGTAACTTTGTCACTAAATGAACTGTTGTAAGTCAAAAGCTACCCTGACTGGCCCCACCAACCCTGTCTATTTTCTGCCTCCTATTGAGTCCCAGCTGATCGGCTGGGTCTCCTTTGGTTGCCCTGCACAGAGAACAGAGCTGGAAAGCAGGTTAGTGGGGTGGGCAGAGAATGAGGATTTTGCAGCCATGCCCACCCACCAAGCCACACCCACCAGCCACACCTACAGAACTGATAGTAAAAAAATTTGAATCCCACCACTGGACAGATTGAGTAAGAGATCCTCCGTTGACATACTGGGCACAATTCTGAAAACAATTCTGCTTAAAGTAAAACCCAGACTGAGCTGAGCAGGCCAAGGGCGCTATCTGCTGGACACCAGAGAAACTGGTATTTAGTAGTAAGACCAATAAAGGGGTGATGCTTGTTTTCTGGGATGAAAATCAAGCTCTACAATATTTATTTGTTTATATTTTGTACTAGCTGGATACCCAGGAGGAAAATAAGGGAGGAAAAATTCTGCCTCTGCCTAACCAGCATCCATCGGTATTCCTCTGGCTAGCGTCCTGTCAGTGTGTGAGAGAGTTGAGGGCTGTTTGGAAAGTGAAACAGTATTTGCTGTGTGAGCATGAGGGAGACAGCAAGGAGCCTGGGTATGCCTTAGCTCAACTGTTCTGTACTAAAGCTGCTTGGTGTTCTGAGACTGAAACTGAAACTCCTCTGTTTGTGTTTTGTATTTGGAAGAGATTTCTTTTAAAGTGGGGAGGGGGAGTAGAACTCCTGATTAAGTGAATCATTGCAGTTGTTCGGATAATCACACAGTCGTTAAGTGAATCCCATTGGGTTTGCTTGTGCAGAAGGTCGCCAAAGGGGATCACATAACCACCATCACCACCCCTGGATGCTGCAACTGTCATAAATACGAGTCATCTGCCAAGCACCTGAATTTTGAGCACCTGATCATGGGGAGGCTGCAACGTGAAAAAACGGCCCTAAGTTATTTTTTTCCCCCAGTGTCGTTGTAACTTCGAATGGTCACTAAACGAGTTGCAAGTGGCAAGCCGAGGGCTACCTTGTAAACCAGCGAAGTGGTCCAACTGAGCCCGGAAGTCCCTTCTCCAGAAACAGAAGGCGAGCTTGGACCCCTCTTTCCTTTTTCCTAATTCTAGAGTCAACCGCGTCAATCACGTCCCGTCGTCCCGGCAACACTTCCTTCACGCTCTCAACCAAACCTCGGAAAGGGGGGGGGGCGTGGCTGAACGACGCTAAGACTATCGGAGCCCGGAAATGACGAACTTGGAAGCCGGAAGCCGGTAGGAGCCGTGCACTGCTGTCGGGCTCCACGTGGTTTTTGCCGAGTTCCACCCACATGGCTGCTCCAGCGGGTCGGCGGAAGGTGGGTTGCGGCTGAGCGGAGCGCGGTGTGGGGAGGACGGAAGATTGGGGAGAAGCAATACCGTCGTGCGGGGGGACCCCGGGGACCTTCGCCTGTCTCCTCCTCCTGGGACCACTACCCCCATCGTCCACGGCCGGGGGAGGGGGATCAAAGACGATGGGAGTTGTAGTCCGGGGCTACAACTCGCAGTCTCTTTCCCTTCGCTTTGTTTCAGGGTTTGGGGGTGGGGTGGGGTGGGGACGGGGTGGTGGTGGTAGGCAACCATAGCCTGGCATGGCCCAAGTTGGCTAGAGCTTGATCCGTTGAACTGTAGGGTTGGGCTAGAAGACCTCGAAGGTCCCTTTGATTATGCTGTTATTTTGATGGATGCATCCCAGCATCTCATCTTTGGGGGTTGTAGTTAATTTTGGGATGTGGGGGAGGAAAGGAACTTTTTTCCAAGCGCCCCACCCCAACTATATTTCCCGCAAAATCTATTTTGATGGATGCTGCCTCCCGTTTCTTGCAGCAGCAGCAGCAGCTCGTGTCAGATAGTCAAGCCGCTTGACGGAGTAGATTTGGTGGGCCCAAAACCGCTTCGTGGAGTTTGGTTGGCTGCAGGTGGACCAGGATCCATTGCCTTGTTTCAGGGGGCTTTTGCTTCCTTGCAAACCTGCGGTGCCTGCTGGCTTCTCATTCAAGCGAGACCCAAGGATGGATCTTATTTATTGAAGTTTATTGCGTTGGATGTCCCAAAGGTGCTTTTTTTTTTTGTCAAGAGGCAACTGGACTTTTCTGGTTTTTCTTTGAAGACCTTTTGCTTCTTATCTCCAGGTGGCCTTAACAAATGACCAACTGTCTTGTCTGCAAGGAGTGTAAATCCTTCCATTCCCCACCCATCCCAGTAAGAGCTGAAGAAGCTTGGGTGAGAAGCGACATGTCTTCAAAAGAAAAAAATGGAAAGTCCAGTTGCCTAGTGAAAGAAAAGCACCTTTGGGACAACCATGACCTGAATGACTGAGAATCTCTACAGGCTTTTAGCTATACAATTTGGGATGAACACCCTTTCAATGGTGTGGGAGTAAGAATGGATTTCCAAGTGGAAAAAAATTGCAGACCACAGGAACCAGGAGCAATACTTAGGTGACTCTGAGGACACAGACAAACTTCCAAGTGTCCTCAACAACCCTCTAAAAGGATGCAAATGACTAGCTGTCTGCAAGGAGTATAAATCCTTCCCTTCCCCACCGTCCAGTCAGAGCTGAAGAAGCTTCTCAGGTGAGAAGTGAAATGTCTTAAGAAAAATCAGACTGTCCAGTTGCCTCTTGAAAAAAGCAGCTTTGGGTCAACCATGACCTGAATGACGGAGAATCTGCATAGATTTTTAGCCGTGCACTTTGGGATGAACTCCCTTGAATGGTGTGGGAGTATGAATGGATTTCCCCAAAATGGCAGACTCCAGGAACCATTTGCACCACTCAGGTGATCCTGAGGACACAGATAAAACCTCCAAGTGGCCTCAACGACTCTCTAAAAAGGATGCAAATGACCAGCTGTCTGCAAGGAATATAAAATCTATTCCCCACCATCCAGTCAGAGCTGAAGAAGCTTCTTGGATGAGAAGCAAAATATCTTCAAAGAAAAAACAAGGAAGTCCAGTTGCCTCCTGAAAAATGCACTTTTGGGACAACCAGGACTTGGATGACTGAGAATCTTCATAGACAGCAGAGGTGGAAGGGACCTTGGAGGTCTTCTAGTCTAACCCTCTGCTCTTAATCTTAAGCCACCCACAGTCACCTTGAATGGGAGATGGGTGACAAAGCAGTTTAATAAACAAATAAAATTAACTGGGGGCTGAAAACAGAAAGAGTATTGCAGTAGTTAAAGGATGGTATAAAAAGAATGGGCAGTTACAGGTAATACCTGACTTACGACCACAATTGGGCCCCAAAATTTCTGTTGCTAAGCGACACAGTTAAGTGAATTTTGCACCATTTGATGATGATGATGATGATTTATATATGTTTTATGTGTAATTTTATTTTGCCCCATTTTATGACCTTGCCGCAGTTGTTAAATGAATTGTAGTAAAACTAGGTTCCCCATTGACTTCCCTGGATACTGCAACCATCATAAATACAAGTTAGTGCCCGAGCATCTGGGTTTTGATCATGTGACTATTATTGGGGATGCTGCAAGAGTCTTAAACGTGAAAACTAGTCACAAATCCCTTTTTTCTGGGCCATTGTAACTCTGAATTACAAAGGCTGTAAGTTAAGGACTCTGTATAATTCTTGAGCAGCGTAGTTTTCAAAGATGAATAACTGGACAAACTTTAACAGTAAACAAAAGCTTAAAAGCTCACAAAGAAGGAGAAACAGTAAATAAGGCTTAAAAGCTAATGAAGGAGGGGAATAAATACGAAATACAGTTTAAAAGTTTGTGAAGGAGGAGAATTAGTTGTTTTAATTCTGTTCTTGGGCTTCAAAGATGCACTGGCTGCCTGGGGAATTTTGGAATTGAAGTCTATACCTTTTGAAAGGTGGTAAGGTTGAAAAAACAAGAGACGCGGTGGCTTAGGGGCTAAGACACTGAGCTAGTCGATCACAAAGGTCAGCAGTTCGGCGGTTTGAATCCCCAGTGCCGCGTAACAGAGTGAGCTCCCGTTATTTGTCCCAGCTTCTGCCAACCTAGCGGTTCCGAAAGCATGTAAAAAATGCAAGTAGAAAAATAGGCACCACTTTGGTGGGAAGGGAACAGCATTCCATGTGCCTTCGGCCGACTATATGACCATGGAGACGTCTTCGTACAGCGCCGGCTCTTCGGCTTTGTAACAAGAGATGAGCACTGACTCCTAGAGCTGGAAACTACAAGCACATATATGCAAGGGGAACCTTTACCTTTAGATAGATAGATGTTGAGGTCCCTTGTGGTGTAAGGCTGTGTCGGTTTGATATCCTGCTCTTTTTTAGTGTAGTTCTTTATTCTTTCTTGGCCAAGTGTGATTGGAAACACAAGGAATTTGGCTTGGTGCACGTGCTCTCAGTGTACATATAAGAAAAGATACAGTCCTCAAGAATCAAGTTAATAATAGTCATAGGGTACAATAAGCAATTGAATCCTACTAGGAAACAGTCAAATAGGATATTGGAATATAGAATAGAATAGAATAGAATAGAATAGAATTCTTTTATTGGCCAAGTGTGATTGGACACACAAGGAATTTGTCTTGGTGTAAATACTCTCAGTGCACATAAAAGAAAAGGTACATTCACCAACAGTCAAGAATCATCAGGTACAACACTTAATGATAGCCATCGGGTACGATAAGCCATCCAATCATACTAGGAAACAGTCAATATAAATCGTAAGGATACAAGCGACAAAGCCGTACAGTCCTACAGTCACACCTGGTAGGGGATGGGTGAAAGGAAAGGAGGTTTAATAGTAATGCATAAAATAAAATATTCATAAAAATAACATTTTAAGGTTGAAAAAAAAAAACCCGCAAAGCCAAGGTGGAAAAAAATGAATCTAGAACAGGTATGGAAAACCGGAAGGGCTTCCCTCTTTTGTGACCACGATGTAAAAAAAAACCAGACCGGGCAGCAGGATTGTTAAATTTACAAAAATCAGCATCCTTATTTGGGTGAATAATTCCCTTTCTTTTTTTGTGTGTGTTGTTGTTGTTGCCTGCAGATGTTACCTGAAAGTGATGAGGGAACTAAAGATCTAGAGAAGGAAGAGAAACAAAACGGCATCCCTAAGGAAGAGAAAGCGAAGGGAAAGAAACGAGCGGCCTCGCCTGAAGGCCTCTTGAAGCCGGTGAAATTGGGAAAAGGTGAGCTCTACAAGGTGCCCACCAACGAGGAGCTGAGCCACCTCAAGGAGACCGAGAACCTGTTCCATTCCAACCTTCTCCGCCTGCAGGTCAGTCCGGCTATCAGCGTTCCAACCTCCAACGCAATAGACTCCGAGAATATCGTCTTCGCAAAGATCCACTTTATTCAAGACTAGCTTCGCTACGCAACTATGCGATGGGGCTTAGTTTTGGGGGAGGAACAAAAGTGGGGGAAAAAACTCTGCCTCTGCCTAACCGGCATCCATCGGTATTCATCTGTCTAGCAGTCCTGTCAGTGTGTGAGAGGAGTTGAGGGCTGTTTGGAAACTGAAAGAGTTATTTGCTGTGTGTGCAAGAAGGAGACAGCAAGGAGCCCGGGCGTGGCTTAGCTCAACTGTTCGGGACTAAAGCTGCTTGGTGCTCTGAAACTGAAATTCCTCTACTTGTGTTTTGCACTTGGAAGAGATTTCTTTTCAGGTGGGGAGGGGGAATAGAACTCCTTAGCATCAGAGCGTGTTGATAATAATATAGGAAATCTAATGGTCTGATGGTCATTTGGAAAAATCCTTTCTTAGCGAGCCCCGAAAAGCCAAGAGGAACATAGGTGCCCAATTTCAAGTTTGTAGGCTTTACGGTTCTGGAGATTTTGTGATGATGCATGAGAGGTATTTTGCTTTTTTATATGTATAGGTAGAAAATAGAAAATGTCATATTGGCACGTCTGAGGAAAACCAGAATCAGAGAGTTCTGGGTTTTCCCTAACCCAAAGAAAACCCAAAATTCTACCCCTGCACCCAATCATCTATCGCAGGGGTGGGCAACTACGGCCCTTTTATGAATTATGGACTTCAACTCCCAGAATTCCTGAGCAAGCCATGCCAGCTCAGGAATTTTGGGAGTTGAAGTCCACAAGTCATAAAGGGGCCATAGTTGCCCACCTCTGATCTATCACATGGTCCAATCCTCACTTCGTTCCAACTGGAGGTACTACCCCCGGCCACTCCCCTCCAGGTGCCGGGTAACATGTCCTTGACTTTCGGAGAAAGAAATGTTGTTGTGGCTAATCTTCCACGGCTCCCTGAAATCCAAAATCCTCCGGCACTGAATGTGGCAGCTCAGAAGCCTCAAAGAATTGGCTGGGGAAATTGGAAGGGAGAGCCAAGTCAAGGCAACGGAGTTGCTCACTGTGGTTAGTTATGAGTAACTCTTGCGTTGCTTGTGCTTGGCAGCTTGGTGGGTGAAAAAGATTTGGACAGGGGAACCAGAAGGGCGATTCGTATAACAAAAGGAAGATCCGGAACGTTTTGACACCACCCCATTTTGATCATGACGCCAACTCCTCATCCCAATAAAACCCCTTTTATTTAAGTCAAAGGGAATTCCTCTCTGACAAAGTCCCAGCAAACAGTCTTTCAAGAGATTTCACAATGACAGGCCTTTATCAAGCTTGGAGAGTTGCCAAGCCGTTAGCTTCCAAATGCCACGCTGTAGCAGCAATTACTTGGCAAGAAGTCAGGAATAGATCTTCACCCTAATGAATTGAACTGATTGTCTCCTGCAAAACCCCACTCCCCTTTCGCTCCTCTTTATTCCCTCTGGGAGGGGCCATTCACCGTCCACCTGAGCCTTTACTCCCCAGTTGACCCTTGTTCCTTAATTGGTTCCCTTCTCCTGGCAGCTCTGTGCATGCACACACTGGGAACAGGCTCCAGCTGTTCTTCCTCCCCACTGATCTCCGACTCCAAAGGCAGCTGATAACTGTCAGACGGCCCTGGCCCCATCTCTGCCTTCGACTCCAGGACTGGCCCGTGTTCCTCCCCAACCTCCTCACTGTCCGAGTCTGCCGCCAGCTCCACTGGCCACTGGTGGGCTACAACAGTCTGACCCCCTTTTCTATTAAATTTTTCTCCTCCAGATTGAAGAACTGTTGAAAGAGGTGACCCTCAAGGAGAAGAGAAAACAGAGAATCGAAGCCTTCCTTCACGAAATCAGAACCCTGCTTAACAATGTCCCAGAAGTTCCGGCGAGAGAGGTATGCTTCAGACCCGTGGGGTTGATAGCATCTTGAGATACGTCTTTGAAGGTTCTCAGTCATCCAGGTCCTGGTTGTCCCAAAGGTGCTTTTTCAAAGAGGCAACTGGACTTTCTGTTTTTTTTTTTCTTTGAAGACATTTCACTTCTCATCCAAGATGCTTCTTCCACTCTGACTTCTCAGCTCTTCAGTCCAAACTGAAGAAGCCTCTTGGATAAGAAGCGAAAAGCCTTCAAGGAAAACCCAGAAAATTCAGTTGTCTCTTGAAAAAAAAAAAATCACTTTTGGTATATCTACGGAGGTTCTCAGTCATCTGTGTCACAGTTTGTCCCAAAGGTGCTTTTCCAAAATGCAACTAGACTTTCTTAATTTCTTTCCTCCTTGAGAACATTTCACTTCTCATCCCAGAAGTTTCTCTGGTTCTGACTTTGAGCTCTTCAGTCAGAACCGAAGAAGCCTCCTGAACAGGAAGCGAAACGTTTTCAAGGGGTAGAAAAATACCCCAAGAAAGTCCAGTTGCTTTTTGCAAAAAAAAAAAAAAAAAACCACCTTTGGGACATCTTGAGACTTGTTTCCTAGGAGGCCACTGTACTCCATAGATCTTCCTTTCTGGGAAGTGGGTTTAACGTCGCAGCCTTTATCAACTCTCGCTCTTGTTCCTTGGGTTTTTTGTGTGTGTGTGGATTTCCAGATTTGGGATCCCTCAGGATCGCTTCCCTGCACAGCCAAGGGTATCAACTGTCCTACTAACAGAACCCATAAAAGCAAGCATCTTCGGGAGCGTTAAAGTCCTAAAAGCAAATAGTTATGGAGTACATCATTCTGGCACAGAAGAAAGCAAAACCACCGCTAAATATTCCCCGACTCTGCTGTAATGACCCAGGAGAAAGCGCAAAGCCAGTTGAGAGTCCAAATTTCCCTTTAAGGCTTCAAAGTTCCCCCCCAAACACCCTCACATTATTGGCAAATCCCAGAGCAAAACGTACACACACACACACACACACGGCAGCCTATGGCTGCGCCCAGTCCAGCAAAGCAAAGGAACAGGGAAATGAGTCCACAAACCAAGGAGTAAACAATGAGTCCACAAAGTCAGGAAGAAATGTTGGGGTATTCCCCGTTAGGAGAACGGGTGCACTCGGGGGAACGTAGTGAGAGTGGTAAGGAATAAGACACAACCAGCATACAGGTACACTGAATAGTAAAATGTAGGTTTTACTTCCAGTAAACGAGTAAAAAAAGTCCAACAAAGCCCAAATCATACACGGTTAAAGCAGTATCAGTCCAGGGATAATCCAAAAACGAAGTCAAGTATCATAAAGTTCAATAAACGGAGTTTGCTAACAGTTGCAAGACTCACAGCAATCCAAGCAGAACGATGATCAGGCAAAACAGGAAATGCAAGAAGAACAAACCAGGTTTCTGGCTCCCATCTTACGGCCGTTGGAGGAACCTCAGCCAATCACAATTACAGCATTCTCTTAAAGAAATAACAGTATTAAATAACTATCCTGGTTTACATATTGCCAACCCAACTGTTAGGTGAGAATCATTCCTAACAAGAAGCAACTCCCAAATGTCGGTACTGGCACACCAAACTCTACCAACTCAGCGTATGTTCCTGACAAGCACCCCTCCCCACATCATCTCTTTAAATCTCGGTCCCCAGGTGCGCCTTGTGAAGAGGGGCGCGGCGCTCTCGTCCCAAGTTGGGTCAACCTGCGCTGTTCCCGCCATCTCTCCACTCTCTGTACTCAGGGATCAAGAGGGGGCAGCCCTTGCTCATCGCCTGAGAGTGCTGCCGCTCCTCATTTCCTCTGCTTACCCTCTCTCGGTCATCCTGCCCCCCGTTCTTCGCTGCTAACAAGCTGTCCCAATCCTGAGGGGCCCTGGGCTGCCTCGGCCTGCTCCTCCCCACATTCCTCCAAAGCCGATGAAGCCACCCGTCCCTCGATCTCCCATCGGCTTGTCCTCCACAGATTCAGGTTCTGATGGGACGGGTCAGACTGAAAAGTTGAAAAGGAATAACGGATAATCAGAGTTGGAAGGGACCTTGTCGGCCATCTAGCCCAACCCCCCCTGCCCAAGCAGGAGACCCTACACCATTTCTGACAGGGGGGTCCAATCTCTTCTTGAAAGTCTCAAGTGATGATGCTCCCACAACTTCTGAGGGCAACTTCTGTTCCATCGGTTGATGGTTCTCACTGTCAGAAAGTTTCTCCTAATTTCCAGGTTAAATCTCTCCTTGTTCAATTTCCAACCATTATTCCTTGTCTGGCCTTCGGGTGCCTTGGAGAATAGCTTGGACCCCCTTCCTCCTCTCTGGGGCAGCCCCTCAAATATTGGAAGACTGCTCTCCTGTCTCCCCTGGTCCTTCTCTTCCCTAGACTAGCCAGGCCCAGTTCCTGCAACCGTTCATCGTATGTTTTAGCCTCCAGTCCCTTCATCATCCTGGTTGCTCTTCTCTGCACTCTTTCTAGAGTCTCAACATCTTTTTTTATAGTGTGTTGACTAAAACTGGATGCAGTACTCTAGGTGTGGTCTTACTAAGGCTTTTTAGAGTGGTATTAGTACCTCCCTTGATCTTGATTGTATTCCTCTGTTAATACAATTTAGGATTGCATTAGCTTTTTTGGCTGCTGCTGCACGCTCACTGCTGGCTCCTATTTAACTGGTTGTCCACTAAGACTCCAAGATCCCTCTCCCAGTTCCTGCTGTTGAGCCTGGTTTCTCCCAGTCTATATGTCTACGTTTGGTTTTTCAATAATAATCCCAGGAAGCTTCAGCGTTTTTCAGTCTTGACGAAGGGGTTCCTAAGAGCAACCCTCGGATCTAGAGACCAAGGTCTACAGAAAATAATGAACAGGGACAGCTGCCATGTTCTCCTGAGATGATGAGATCCTGGAAAGAGTGCAGAGAAGAGCAACCAAGATGGTTGGAGTGGGTGGAGGTTAAATCATATCATGAATGCTTGAGGGAACTAGTCTATCGAAGGGAAGGATTTGGCGGGCACTTCTGCTTCCTGAGGGGTTTTCACAGAGAAGAAGGGGGTCAACCTCTCCTCTCAAGGCACCTGAGAGGCAGGATAAGAAGCAATGAATGGAAACTCCTCAAGACCAGCAGAGATTTGTAGCTGAATTGTGGTTGTTACGTCAAGGACTACCTGTATTTTGGGGGATTCTTCAGTTGGGACCGCCTGGGACCTCTCCCACAGAATCTCAGCCTGGTCCTGATTCAAGGATAAAAGGGTAGTGTCAACTCCTAAAATATTTCTCTGGTCTTTTTAGAGTTTGCCAACCGTAAGAGAGCGGGGAGCAGTGCAACAGCTTGGAAATCGAAAGCGCATTCCATAAATAGTTTTTCAAAGATAGTAACTAGGCGACAGAAGTTTCTGCCCCGCAAATATCTAACTGGAGAGCCTGATTGATGACTCTGGGCTATGGATGTGTCCCATTGGAGAATATGAATTATGACACACCCAGGGGATGGAGGGGAAAAACCAGGGTCAAGGGTGACAATGAATGATGTGTCTCAGAGTCGGCTGCACCCAGTCAGTGCCGGCATGCTAACTCCCAATAAATCCTTTTGAAGTTTGGCTCGAGACTCATGATTTAAATAGGGGTGAATGCCGGAATCCTGACAGGTGAATTCTACATTTTTTTTTTTTCCAGATCACCGACCAGTCCTGGCTCCCCACAGGAGTGAAAGTCCCTATCCTGCAGCTTCCTTTCAAGGTGAAAGGGAAGTTCCACTTTCTGCCCCCAGTGGAGGTGAACGTGGTAGGGAGTTACCTGCTTGGCACCTGCATCAAGCCAGACGTGAACGTGGATGTGGCAGTGATTATGCCCAAGGTGAGTGGTCCCGGGCAGGCATGAAGGTTCCCTTTTAATTTTATTATTCATATTTATTTTTAACCTCTCTTTATTATTTTTTGGTAAAGAACTCCAGGTGACAGACATACCAGCGCTCCTGGTTCTACCTATTTTCCCCACATCAGCAATCTGATGGGGGAGAATGGCCTGAGAGGGGGCTTTCGTGCCTAAGGCAGAACTAGAACTCACTGTCTCCTGGTGATTGGTCCAAAGTCCACTAGGCGCCTTTCATGCCTAAGATGAAACTAGAACTCACCGTCTCCTGGTGATTGGCCCAAAGTCACCCAGGTGGCTTTCATGCCTAAGGCGGAACTAGAACTCACCGTTTCCTGGTGATTGGCCCAAAGTCAGCCACCTGGCTTTCATGCCTAAGGCGGAACTAGAACTGACCGTCTCCTGGTGATTGGCCCAAAGTCACCCAGGTGGCTTTCATGCCTAAGGTAGAACTAGAACTCACCATCTCCTGGTGATTGGCCCAAAGTCACCCACCTGGCTTTCATGCCTAAGGCGGAACTAGAATTCACCGTCTCCTGGTGATTGGCCCAAAGTCACCCACCTGGCTTTCATGCCTAAGGCGGAACTAGAATTCACCGTCTCCTGGTGATTGGCCCAAAGTCACCCAGCTGGCTTTCATGCCTAAGGCAGAACTAGAACTCACCATCTCCTGGTGAGAGGCCCAAAGTCACCCACCTGGCTTTCTTGCCTAAGGCGGAACTAGAATTCACCAGCTCCTGGTGATTGGCCCAAAGTCACCCACCTGGCTTTCATGCCTAAGGCGGAACTAGAATTCACCGTCTCCTGGTGATTGGCCCAAAGTCACCCAGCTGGCTTTCATGCCTAAGGCAGAACTAGAACTCACCATCTCCTGGTGAGTGGCCCAAAGTCACCTAGCCTGTTTTGCATGCCTAAGGCACGATTAGAACTCACGGTCTCCTGGTGATGGGCGTAAAGTCACTCAACTACCTTTGAGGCCAAGCTGGGTGCTAGAACTCACCGTCTCCTGATTTCTAGCTTGGTGCCTTCCCCATCAGACCCAAGGGATAGTCAGAGGGTTAATAACATTGGGAAGACGCTGAGCACGTGAAGAGTTCTTTCTCGTGCTCGTTGGTGTTCTGTTCTCCCGGCCGCGCTTCTGCAAAGCCTGCTTAGTGAATGTCTTGCTTAGCAACATACGCCCGGGGCTCAACTGAGGTCATAGGTCGAGGACCCCCCGAAAACGGCTTTTGTCTTGTCAGGAAGCGTTCCAAGAGAAGGACAACCTCAACCAGCGCTACCACCGCAAGAGGGCCCTCTACCTGGCCCACCTGGCCCAACACCTGGCTGAGACGAACCGCTTTGGGAGCGTGGCCTTTGGCTACCAGAATGGCAACCATTTGAAGCCCGTTGTGCTCCTCCAGCCACAAGGTAAGCTGGGGGGGGGGAGAGGAAGGATTTTGCGCACGTGGTTAAAAATGGGGGAGTAAGAGAACTGTGGAGTGGAGGAAGCAGGCAGAGAAGAGGTTTTGCTGTCATCTTCCAGGACTCCTTGTTACTTCCTTTCTTTCTCTCCAACACTTCCGACCCTTCCTTCCCTTCCCTTCCCTTCCGACTCTCCCTTCTTTCTTGTCTCCTTCCTTCCCTTCCCTTCTGAGCCCTCCCTCCCTCCCCCTTCTGACTCTCTCTCTCCCTTCCTCTCTTTCCTTCCCTTCCCCTTTTCCTCCCTCCCCTCCCT